CAAATTAATCAATTTTTTCTGATTTTTTGTGTTTCGCGAGAAACAAAAAAAAAAAAACGGTTGTGGGGAAAGTTACCAGAAGAAGTGGTCCGACATATTCCATTTTCACACCTGATCTTGTGTTGATACAAATATTGAGATTTGCTATGTTTGAAAACAATCGGATGTTCATTTCGTTTTCATTTTCATGAGCTTCATGGATGTTCAAAATGTTGACCCCTTTGTGGGGGAGGGCACCATCTTCGCACTATATCTTGTGGTATTAAAAATGTTGGGATGTGTGAAATTTGAAGATTATCGGAAGGTTATTACGCCTTTTATGAGAGTTATAATTATTCAAAATTCGGTCCTATTTTGGGAAGGTATATGATGGAGTGGGCCGATATCGTCAATTTTTGCACCCGATATAGCACTAATACACATACAGGGTGAGATAAAAAAAAACTGCAACAAAGTCCAACGAAATAATTTTTAATTTTTTTAATTTTATTGTCGGAAATAACATCAAATTTTGAAATAAGTTTTGATTTGTTCGAATTGGTCCCCTTTGGCACGAATTATGGCCTTCAAACGGCCAATGACGTCACACGCTGCCCGAATGTTGCTCTGCGGTATTTTGGTCCATTCCCGGCGAAGCGCTTGCTTGAGGTGATCGACACTTTGGTATTTTTTATTGCCAACCTCGCTTTCCGAAAAATACTCCAGACACAATAGTCCAACGGATTGGTATCCGGAGATTTTGGTGGCCATTGTGCGCTGGAAATGAAGCGAGGAAGCTCTTTTTCTAACCATTGGTGCGAGTCCTGGTGGAATGTCCAAGGCCAAAATGTTTGCGTGCCCAAGGCTTTAATACACCCTCCACAATATTTTCGCAATAATATTCGGCATTTATTCCGATGCCACGGTCGATTAATACAAGCGGAGAGCGACCATAGGCTTTTATGGCGGCCGACACCATCACCATGGCCGGCGCTTGAGTTTTAGTGGCCAACCGAAGGTGCACATTTTCAGCTGACCTCTTTGGCAAGTAAACACGATCATTTTGTTTGTTTACAAACTGCTTGACAACGAATGTTTTCTCTTCGGAGAAAACCAAATTCGGCAATTCACCACTTTCGGCCATGCGAAGCAACTCTTTAGCTGTTTTGAGACTATTTTCTTTCTGTTCTTGCACTTTTTGGAATTTCAATGGCTTTACCCCGAGCTCATATTTCAATATTTGCCGAATGGACTATTGTGATATGTTCAGCTCACGAGCCATTGGCCATTTTTCGGCCACTTCGACGCGGGTTTCGATCAAGTCGCTTCTTTACTTTTCGAACCAGAATTTTCGAAAGAATGTTGCCTGCGGACAAGCCTCTTCGATTGGAATGGGCCCAAAGGTCCATCAAATATGGGCAACCCTGTATGGATCAAATCGGATACTCTCTTCGAGAATGATCGTACACATCAGCCAGCCAGACGGACGGATGGATGCCCCTAGATCGACTCCACATGTCCTAAAACGGATTTTGTCCAAAGGCACCTAGGGTCTAAGCCTGTTATTTCCATGAGACACTTTTTAGTTCTACCAAATTATATATACCCTCTTTAGCCATAAATGGCTGAGAGTATAACTGGAAATTAAACGAATTTCTTTGCTGGGTAGTCAACACAAGAAAGCAAATACATTGTTGTTGTTGTTGGGACGGACATCTGTGTGGCTATAAAACGTAGCGAAGCAGCCCCTAAGAATTTAGTACTGGACCGGCCTTTTGCGACGACGTTGGGTGAAAAACAGCCCCGGAGAATTTTATAAGTGAAAAAAAAATGTAAGACAATTTCTTTTCGTATCTAAACATCGATGATCGTGTCCAATGTCAACATTAAAACCACTGACAGCCACAGTCATTAATAATAATAAATAAAAGAGAACAATACAACAACAACATTTCAATCTGAACAAATAAAAAATAGACACACGCAAAGAATCTTAAAATGTTTGATAGCAAAAAAACCGATGCTAAGTGGTAAACACACAAAACAGACATACATTTGGAATGCTAGATCGATAGCGCTGCATCCATGCATACAAACATGGGGTGTGGTGAGACGTTGAAAAGAAGAGAAAAACCGACACCCTCACAAACCTACATATTGCTCATTCACTGAAAAAGTGTTGCTTTTGTTGTTTTTTTTTTTATTTTAACAATTTATATTTTTCCTACAAATCCTATTTTACTATTCTTTAAAAAATGTATGTTCATATCTATAGAACTCAAGGAGTTACAGTAATTTTTACATCCAATTGGATATTAATCCATAAGACAGTGTATTGAGCTTCTGAGGCACTTAAATACTTTAAATCATGTTTGATCTTGAAAAAAAATTAGATCTGATATCTGGTGAGCTCTCTGCTAATAACTGTCGTTATAGTATTTTTTTTTTATAACCCCACCATAGTATGGAGGGTATATTAAGTTTGTCATTCCGTTTGTAACACCTCGACATTCTGGACCCCACAAAGTATACATATTCTTGATCAGCATAAAATTCTATGTCGATTTAGCAATGTCCGTCCGTCTGTCCGTCTGTCCGTCTATCCTTCTGTGGAAATAACTCTAGCTTCCGAACGAAATGAAGTATTTCATTTCAAGAAAATAAACATTTCTCGTGATCGTAAAAATTGCACACATACTATTCAACCATCAGACTGGGACAAAAAAAAAAAAAAAAATCCGAATATTCAAATATAGGGAATACCCCTGAACTTAACACAGAAATAGATGGATTGACGTTTTTAGATGGAATGAGTGGATTTACTTCAAAATGGATTTACTTCAATATGGAAAATCTTCTGTAAAAATATTCTTTTTTTTAATTATTAGGCAATATGAAGAAAAGTAGTACCGTTGCAGGAGGACTTCACCTAATTGTAAACCAATGTCTCCAATTTTTAGTTAGCCCAGCATAATCTAGCGACGAATCTCACTACAAATGGGATTACTGATCCCTTATATATGATTTTTTTTTATACCCTCCACCATAGTATGGAGGGTATATTAAGTTTGTCAATGTCCATCCGTCTGTCCGTCTGTGGAAATCACTCTAGCTTCCGAACGAAATGAAGTGAGTTGATAAAAATTTATTCAAATGTGTATTGTGTCTGTAGGAGTTTTGGTATTGAAAGTGGGCCATGTAGGTTCACGTCTTCGTATAGGCCCCATATAACGGTACCTCCCGATATTCGGTATTTTGATGATTTTAGCGACATTATTTATCGGAACTATTTCAAATTTAGTATTTGAAGTTCGTAATAAATACTACAGCCTATGACAGAAAATTGTCTGCCCAAGTCCACGTCTTCGTATAGCCCCCATATAACGGTACTTCCCGATATGCGATATTTTGATGATTTTAGCGACATTATTTACCGGAATTGTTTCAAAATTGATATTTGAAGTTCGTAATGGATACTACAGCTTAAGACAGAAAATGGACCAAGTAGGTCCACGTCTTCGTATATCCCCCATATAACGGTACCTCCCGATATGCGGTATTTTGATGATTTTAGCGACATCATGTACCGGAATTATTTCAAATTTTGTATTTGAAGTTCGTAATGAATACTACAGCCTGTGACAGAAAATTGCCTTTGCAGGTCCACGTTTTATGACCCCCATGATATCTCCGTATATTCGGTATTTTTATGATTTTAGCTACATTATAAACAGATTTTTTTCAAGTTTCGCATTTGAATATTGTAATAGCTTGTGACAAAAGTTGCCTATGCAGATCCACGTCTTCGTATAGACCCAAATATATACCGCTACATTCGGTATTTTAAAGATTTTATCTGGATTTTTTAACGGATTTAATTTTTTTGAAAAATTCCAAATTTGTACCAAATGGTCGAGGATATACAAAGTTCGGCCCGCTTACAGCTTTTTTACTTGTAAATATTTTTGTAATTCGGATAGTCAGAATTCAATCGATAAGTAAGGCTGCAAATACATAAAAAGCTTGAAGTCTTGGCTAGGCATATTAATGCCAAATTATAATGAAAAACGACGGCAGGATTTTAGTGCGGCTCTGTAATTCCTTTGTGAAATGTCACAAAATAGGCCGCGCCATGACTTCAAGCTTCTTATGTACTTAGCCCTTAAAACAGTTAACAAGTAAAAAAGCTGTAAGTTCGTCCGGGCCGAACTTTGAATACCCTCCACCATTTGCAACGAATTTAGCAATTTCAAAAAATGAAATCGGTTGAAATCTATAGGGCTATACGAAGACGTGGACCTGTACGGATTTTAAGTCAATATTTTAAGCTTTTGTGGGAGATGTACCAGCTGCAGTGGACGGATAAATGCAAAATTCTCCTTACATCTCTGATGGCGAGAAATATTTAGGTATACCAAGTTTGAAAAAACCAAGTTTGGTATCTTTTATCTCCACACTATATCGTATGTTCGTAAAAATATTGGAATTTCTAAATTTGAAGAGAATCTGATGTTTATTTCCGTTTTGTTATTAAAAATTTTGACCGCTTTGTGGGGTAGGTACCAGAAAGAGTAGGTTGATATATTCCATCTTAACACCAGACCTTGGGCTAATAAAAATATTGGGATGTGTAAAATTTGAAGACAATAGGACTCTTACAACACATTTTATGAGAGTTGCAATATTTTGACCATTTGGTGGGGGGGGGGGACTTGATGGAGTGAACCGATATATTCTATCTTCACACCCGATCTTAGACTAATATATATATTGATATGTGTGAAATTTAAGGACAATAGGACTCTTACATCACATTTTATGAGAGTTGTAATTATTCAAAATGTTGACCATTTGTGTGGGAGGTACTTGATGGAGTGGACCGATGTTGTCCATTTTCACACCTGACCTTGTACTAATGGAAATATTAGGATTTGCAAAGTTGGAGCAAAATCGGATTATCCTTTCTCTTTCTGTGCAGTAAAATATTTTTTGAAAAGTTCGACCTTTTGTGGGAGAGGTACCAGAAGGAGTGGACAGATATTGCCCATCTCCGAACTCAATCTAAGTTTGACAAAAATGTTACGATGTCTCAAGTTTGGACCAAATCGGACACTCCTTTCGAGAGTTATCGTGCGCACCAGCCAGCCAGACAGACAGATGTCAACCTCGATGATTTCTATCGCTAAGGTGTGAGTTTTTTCTTTTTTCTTCTTTTTTTTCCTATATTTAAATTCAAGTAAGGGGAATTCCCATATTTTGTTGCATTCAATTCTATTCTATTATAAAATAAATATACTACGTATTTTGATTTTTAAATTCAGTTAAACTAATGCAGATAACGCGCAAAAATGCAACGTATGCACGCCTCCCTCCATTCTTCACCTTCACAGAATATTGACGCAACCCAACAAAACAAAACAAAAAAAAAAAACAGTCACTAAAACCCCATTGAAGAAATGAATCATTTTTTTCTGATTTTGTGTGTTTTGCGAAAAACAAAAAATGGGGAAGCTTCTAGAAGAAGTGGTCCGACATATTTTTTTGAATTTTTCAACCTTTTGTGGGGAATGTACCAGAAGGAGTGGACCGATATTGCCCATCTCCGAACACGATCTAAGTTTGACAAAAATATTACGATCTCCCAAGTTTGGACCAAATCGGATACTCCCTTCGAGAGTTATCGTGCGCACCAGCCAGCCAGGCAGACGGCCGGACGGACATCGCTAGATCGACTGCAAATGTTCTGAAACGGATTTGTTCCAAAGAGATATCCGTGCCTAGTCGAAATAATGGTTTTTAGCATTATTTCGACTAGGCACGGATATATACCCTCTGTAGCCATATGGCAGAGGGTATAAAATGACCTAAGGTGGACTTTTCGATGATTGCTAGTATATTATATATTTAATAGGTAAAATGATAACCGCCACACCCAATTAATATATAATGTATTTCGTTTTGTGAACCTCCGTTTTTTTCCTGATAATAAAAAAATAGAAATATGAGCGCAACAAACGTAATTGAAAATGTGGATTTTTCTAGCAATTGCATTTGCGATAGTGAATCATCTCTTTATGATCGCAAATAGAAAATCACTTCAGTTGTCATTCGGTAGTGGTATAAAATAGGTTCCCTCATTTCCGTCTTAAAATAACAAGAACAAGTGTAGCCTTAGAAATCCCGATAATGTTACGTTAGTGAATTAAGACAAATCTTCTATATCTATAAAAGAGGAAAATGTTTGTATATTCGTTTGTTTGTAATTTATGAACTCGAAAACCGCTGAAAAAATTTTCCTGAAAATTTCCAACATCGCCGGAAAGTAACATAGGCTATATAAATGTGTATACCCTCCACCATACTATGGTGGGGATATTCATTTTGTAATTCCGTTTGTAACTCCTCGACATACTCATGTCAGGTCCAACAAAGTATATATATACTCTGATCAGCGTAAAATTCTAAGTCGATTTAGCGATGTCCGTCTGTCTGTCCGTCCGTCTGTTCGTCTGTCTGTTGTAATCACGCTATCTTTCGAACAAATTGAGATAGAAGGATAAAATTTTGCACACATGTTTATTTTGCCAATGGGCTTATAGGTTAAGTTCGTAAATGGGCCATGTAGGTCCACGTTTTCATATAGCCCCCACATAACGGTACCTCCCTATATTCGGTATTTAGATGATTTTAGCGTCATTATTCACCGGAATTGTTTCAAATTTGGTATTTGAAGTTCGTAATGGATACTACAGCCTGTGACAGAAAATTATCTGTGCAGCTCCAAGCCTTCGTATAAGCCCCATATATCAGTAGCTCCCTATATTCGGTATTTTGATGATTTTAGCTACATTATTCACCAGAATTGTTTCAAATTTGGTATGTGAAGTTCGTAATGGACACTACAGCCTGTGACAGAAAATTGTCTGTGGAGGTCCACGTCTTCATATAGCCCCCACATAACGGTACCTCCCTATATTCGGTATTTTGATGATTTTAGCCACATTATTATCCGGAATTGTATCAAATTTGGTATTCAAAGTTCGTTATGGATACTACAGCCTGTGAGAGAAAATTGTCTGTGCAGGTCCAGGTCTTCGTATAGCCCCCATATAATGGTACCTCCGGGTATTTGGTATTTTGATGTTTTTAGTGACATTTTCACCAGAATTGTTTCAAATTTGGTATTTGAAGTTCGTAATGGATACTATAGCCCGTGATAGAAAATTGTCTGTGCAGGTCCAGGTATTCATATAGCCCCCATATAACGGTACCTCCCTATATTCGTTATTTTGATGTTTTTAGTGACATTATTCACCGGAATTGTTTCAAATTTGGTATTTGAAGTTCGTAATGGATACTACAGCCTGTGACAGAAAATTGTCTGTGCATATCCACGTCTTCATATAGCCCCCACATAACGATACCTCCCTATATTCGGTATTTTGATGATTTTAGCCACATTAATATCCGGAATTGTTTCAAATTTGGTATTTGAAGTTCGTAATGGATACTACAGCCTGTGACGGAAAATTGTCTGTGCAGGTCCACGTCTTCGTATAGCACCCATATAACGGTACCTCCCAATATTATTCGTAATGGATACTACAGCCTGTGACAGAAAATTATCTGTGCAGGTCCAAGCCTTCGTATAAGCCCCATATGTCAGTAGCTCCCTACATTCGGTATTTTGACGATTTTAGGTACAATACTCACCGAAATTGTTTGAGATATCGTATTTGAAGATCGTAATGGATACTCCAGCCTGCGACAGAAAATTGTCTATGCAGAACCAGGTCTTTGTATAGCTTCGATATTACGGTACCTCCCTATATACGGTATTTTAATGATTTTATTCTTCACCGTTTATTATTCACCGTTTATTTCAAGTTTCGAATTTGAATATGGTAATGGCTTATGAGGTTCACGTCGTAAAGACTCCAATATAAAGGCTTTATTCGATATTTTTAAGATTTTAACAGATTCTGGTACCTCACCCACAAGGGGTCAAAGTTTTCAATAACCAAAACGATTAAAAAAACGAAATAAGCATCCGGTTCTCTTCACTTTTCACACACCGCATTACTTCTAATACCACAAGATATGCTGTGAAGATGGGATATATCGGCCCACTTTTTCTGGTACCTCCCTCCCCACAAAAGCTCAAACTTTTGAATATTCATGAAGCTCATAAAACGCGAAATTAACATCCGATTCCATTCATACATCTCAATATTTCCATCAACACAAGATCTGTTATAACAAGTAAAAAAACATTAAGTTCGGCCGGGCCAAACTTTTAATACCCTCCACCTTAGGGTAAAGGAAACATTAGATCCCATTATGACCCACATATACCAATTTTTAGACATATTTATGGGAAAATGTGCCAAAAATCATCAAAATACCGAATATCGGGAGGTACCGTTATATGGAGGTTACACCAAATCGTGGACCCGCGAAAAAAATATGGCAAAAACCATCAAAATACCGATACCCATTTGTATCTTTTAAATTCGAACTTGTATTGCCCATTTGGTGCACAATTATTTTGAAATCGGATAAAGATATATGTGGGAGCTCTATATAAATCTGAACCGATCTCGACAAAATATGGCATAGTTATTTCTGAGCTGTATTTTATGTATTTTCCTGAATATCTTTGTTACGGAGTGTATATTACGGATGTGAGTAACAAATATAACAAATCGGATGAACAATATATAGGAGCTATAGCTATATCTGAACCGATCTTCACCAAATTTGACATACTGGCTTCTTGACTCAATTCGGTCGTAAGTGCCCATTTGGACAAATATTAGACGTTTGGTGCACAATAAAAGAAAATCGGACGAAGTTATATATGGGAGCTATATCCAAAACTGAACCGATCTCGATAAAATTTAGCAAATGTATTTCTGATCTGTATTTGATATATTTTCCCAAATATTGTTGTTACAGAGTGCATATTACGGCTGGGGAGGACAAAAATAACAAATCGGATGAACAATATATATGGGAGCTATAGCTATATCTGAACCGATTTCGATCAAATTTGGCATACTTATTTTCAGGTACAATCTGATCGTACGTGCAAAATTTCATACTATTCGGACTGATATTACACGTTTGGTGCACAAGAGAAGTCAAATCGGACGAAGATATATATGGGAGCTATATCTAAATTTTGACCGATTATCTACAATTTTAATAGGGTTCGTCCTTGGGCCAAACAAATGATTTGTGCAAAATTTCATCTGGCTAGAGCAATAAATGCGAACTGTACTTTGTTTACAAAAATACATGCACAGACGGACGGACGGACAGACGGACATAAATCGACTCAGAATGTGATTATATGGCTCAGAATATAATAAAATGGTACCATATTTAGTACCTTTTAGTACATTGCGTGCTCCTCCAGAACGAATTCTCAAAATGTTTTCCCTTACACATTTTTATTAGCCATAAACAATTCACAAATCGTACAGCATAACCGGTACCATAATTAGTATCATTTTGTACATTTTCTTTTGGGCGTTGATGATTCACTTAGACTGTCATCATTCATTGACACCAACAATCATTTAACTCTTCTATGTAAACACACACACACACACATAAAATTTTATAAAAATTGTCTTAATCTTATCGCATTTTATTTGCAAGCAATGCAGTTCTGCTGTTTGCCAGTTTGTCATGTACATGCAATAATAACAATAACAATAATCAGAACAACAACAATTATTTGTTTACTTTTTTCCAACAGATTTTAGCCCGAAATATACAACAAGACTGCAAGATAATGGCGAAAAGGTAATAATTGTTTATTAGTTCAACTGCACCGAGAAATACTTAATCCCCCGAGACAATTGTTTTCTGAACTCTTTCAGATATCCAAATTTAAAAAATCCCCATTTAAAAACCATGAAATCGGACTTTTTATATCACATCAATGTCAATGTGGCCGATACTGACAATCCAACGGAAATACGAGAAAAATTCGGAGATGTGAAGGTAAGAAGGAATGTTGTGAGCGTTTGCACTCAGAAATAGAAAGAAATTAAAAAAAAAAACAGTAAAGAAAGACTTAAAGTCGGGCGGGCCCGACTTTATGAAACCCTACACCACTTTGCTACTTTAGTAGAGCTGCACATAACAATTAAAAGTTTTTATGGGAGAATTCCGCTATGATTATAATTATAATTTAAAGTTCAAAGGACTAAATATGCCGACGCATTTGTATCTTTTAAATTCGGACTTGTATTGCCCATTTGGTGCACAATTAATTTGAAATCGGATAAAAATGTATATGGGAGCTATATCCAAATCAGAACCGATCTCGATAAAATTTGGCAAAGATATTTCTGAGCTGTATTTGATATATTTCCCTGAATATCGTTGTTATGGAGTGCATATTACGGCTGTGGGTAACAAATATGACAAATCGGGTGAACAGTATATATGGGAGCTATATCTATATCTGAACCGATCTTCACCAAATTTGACATACCAGCTTCTAGACTCAATTCGGTCGTAAGTGCCAAATTTCATCCAAAGGTAAATCGGACGAAGTTATATATGGGAGCTATATCCAAATCTCAACCGATCTCGATAAAATTTGGCAAATGTATTTTTGGGCTGTATTTAATATATTTTCCCAAATATTGATGTTGCAGAGTGCATATTACGGCTGCGGAGGACAAAAATAACAAATCGGATGAACAATTTATATGGGAGCTATAGCTATATCTGAACCGATTTCGATCAAATTTGGCATACTTATTTTCAGGCCTAATTTGGTTGCATGTGCAAAATTCCATATTACACGTTTGGTGCACAATAAAAGGCAAATCGCACGAAGATATATATGGGAGCTATATCTAAATTTTGACCGATGAACTCCAATTTCAATAGGGTTCGTCCTTGGACCAAACAAATGATCTGAGCAAAATTTCAACTGGATCGGGCAATAAATGCGACCTGTACTTTGTTTACAAAAATACATGGACAGATGGACGGACGGACCTACGGACGGACAGACGGACGGACATGCATAAATCGACTCAGAATGTAATTCTATGCAGATCATCAAAAGGAACTATGGGTCTATCTCGTTTCCTTTTGCCTGTTACAAACAAATGCACAAAGACATAATACCCTGACCACCTTGTGGTGTAGGGTATAAAAAAAGTAAAAAAGCAGCTAAGTTCGGCCGAAATTTGTATACCCTCCACCATTGGGAAGGAACTTGACAAATTAAAAAAGAAAATTTAAATGAAAAACGTTAAATAACAGCTATACAAAGACGTGGACCTGCGTAGAAAATTTTCCGCCAATGGTTGAAGTGCCCATTACGAACTTCAAATATGAAATTTGAAAAAAAAAACGTCCGGTGAATAGTGTCACTAAATTCATCAAATCACCGAATATTGGGTGGGAGTTGTATGGAGGGCATAGAGCTATATAGACAATTCTCTTCCAGGCGGTAGAGTATTCAGAAGGAACTCTCTATGGTGATTTGTTAAACAATTCCATTGAAAAACTTGGCAACAATCATCAAAATACCGAATAATGGGAGATACCGTTATATGGAGGCTATAAGAAGACATGGACCTGCCATTTTCAGTCATGGGTGGTAGTACCTATGATGGACTTCAAATGTGAAATTTGAAAAAATTTCTATGAAAAATATCGCTAATACCGAATATTGGGGCTACCGTTGTAAGGGGGGTATGAAATATCATGGACCGATGTAGCCCATCTTCGAACTTGACGGTCTGCAAACAAAAGATTGATCTGTGCAAAATTTTAACTTTCTATCTTAATTCGTTTTGACTCTAGCGTAATTACAACAGACAGACGAACGGTCGGACAGCGCAAAATCGTCTTAGAATTTTACGCTGATCAAGAAAATACAGAGTGAGATAAAAAAAACTGCAAAAAAGTCAAATGCCATAATTTTGAAATTTTTTTTTCTATTTTATTGACGGAAGGAGAAAAATGTCGGAAATAGCATCAACTTTTAGAATAAGTTTAGATTTTTCGAATTGGTCACCTTTGGCACGAATTATGGCCTTCAAACGGCCAATAAAAACCGTCACACGCTGCCCGAATGTTGTTCTGCGGTATTTTGGCCGATTCCCGGTGAAGCGCTCGCTTGGGGTGATCGAGATTTTGGTATTTTTTAGTGCCAACCTTGCTTTCCAAACACTCCAAACACAATAGTCCAACGGATTGGTATCCGGAGATTTTAGTGGCCAATGTGCGCTGGAAATGAAGCGAGGAACCTCATTTTGTAACCATTCTTGGGTGGCTCGTGCCGAAATGACGGACATCCATACTATATATGTGGTGAAGGGTATAAAAATGTATATATTTTTATTTTATTGTTGCAAAATAGTTAGGCTTAATCCCATCAATGTTGTCTGTACTGATGAGGATTGGTGGCTCTTTACGAAATCGAGGTATTCCCTGTCTTACCCCCTGGTAAATATTACCATCGTTCTCCAACCAATAAAAAAACGTTGTTTTTATAAGAATAACAATACTGGGATTAAGCCTAACTATTTTGCAACGAGAAAATATTACGTCATCCCGAACAAATATGCCAACACTGTTCTATTTTTTTTTATTTCATTTTGTATCCAGGTTGTTTGTATGGGTGGCACCAAAAATCGTATGCTGGCCTTGGCCGAACACGTGCGGACGCTTCTGGGACTCGACGATAAACAAGAATTGGTTGATATTGCCGAAGCTGGAAATCGTTATGCCATTTACAAGGTAATCAAATCAATGTCTCCTCTCCATACATCCAACATTTCGAAATATTTTTTGGTTTTTGCCAGGTTGGTCCCGTTCTCTGCTGTTCCCATGGTGTGGGCATGAGCACTATGAGTGTTGTTCTGCATGAATTGCTAAAACTAGTACACTATGCCCAATGTGATGACCCGGTCTTTATACGTTTGGGCACCAGTGGTGGCGTCGGTGTGGCACCCGGTACAGTTGTGGTCACCAAAGAAGCCTATAATGGCTATTTGCGCAATGAACACGAGATTGTAAGTTTTAAATTTTATTTTTTTAATTTTTTTTTTAATTTTTCTAATTGCCAATTAATAAACCAATGGTTAGAATTTCGTTAGCTTGAAACGTATCTAGATACAAAGATAAGTTCGGCCGGGCCGAACTTTGAATGCCCTCCACCATTTGAAAAGGATTTAGCAATTCTCAAAAACAATAAAATCCGTTAAAAATTCTGTTAAAATTTAAAAAATACCGAATGTAGCTGTTATATTAGGATCTATACGACGACATGGACCTGCATAGGTAACTTTTGTCATAAGCCATCACAATATTCAAATGCGAAACTTGAAAATAAATTCGATGAATAATGCAGCTAAAGTCATCAAAATACCGAATAATGGGAGGTACCGTTATATCGAGCCTATACGAATACCTGGACCTGCATAGACAATTTTCTGTCTTAGGATGTAGTATCCATTACGAACTTCTACTACCAAATTTGAAACATTTCCGATGAATACAGTTATCCACGTTTGAGGATAAAATTATCCACGTTTGAGGATAAAATTATCCACGTTTGAGCATAAAATTATCCACGTTAGAGGATGAAATTATCCACATTTATGGACAAAATTATCTACGTTTGAGGATAAAATTGTCCACGTTGGAGGATGAAATTATCCATATTGGTGGATAAAATTACCCAGGTTTGAGGAAAAAATTGTCCACGTTGGAGGATGAAATTATCCATATTGGTGGATAAAATTATCTACGTTTGAGGATAAAATTATCCACGATTGTGGATAAAATTATCCACGTTTGTGGATAAAACTTTCCACGTTTTGGATACAATTATTCGCATTTGTGGATAAAATTATCCACGTTTGAGGATAAAATTATCCACGTTTGAGAATAAAATTATCCACGTTTGAGGATAAAATTATCCACGTTTGTGAATAGCATTATCCACGTTGGTGGATGAAATTATCCACATTTGTGGATGAAATTATCCATATTGGTGGATAAAATTATCTACGTTTGAGGATAAAATTATCCACGTTGGAGGATGAAATTATCCACATTTGTGGATGAAATTATCCATATGGGTGGATAAAATTATCTACGTTTGAGGATAAAATTATCCACGTTCGAGGATGAAATTATCCACGTTTGAGGATAAAATTATCCACGTTTGAGGATAAAATTATCCACGTTTGAGGATAAAATTATCCACGTTTGAGGATAAAATTATCCACGTTTGAGGATAAAATTATCCACGTTTGAGGATAAAATTTTACACGTTTGAGGATAAAATTATCCACGTTTGAGGATAAAATTATCCACGTTTGAGGATAAAATTATCCACGTTTGAGGATAAAATTATCCACGTTTGAGGATAAAATTTTCCACGTTTGAGGATAAAATTATCCACGTTTGAGGATAAAATTATCCACGTTTGAGGATAAAATTATCCACGTTTGAGGATAAAATTATCCACGTTTGAGGATAAAATTTTCCACGTTTGAGGATAAAATTATCCACGTTTGAGGATAAAATTATCCACGTTTGAGGATAAAATTATCCACGTTTGAGGATAAAATTATCCACGTTTGAGGATAAAATTTTCCACGTTTGAGGATAAAATTATCCACGTTTGAGGATAAAATTATCCACGTTTGAGGATAAAATTATCCACGTTTGAGGATAAAATTATCCACGTTTGAGGATAAAATTATCCACGTTCGAGGATGAAATTATCCATATTGGTGGATAAAATTATCCACGTTGGTAGATAAAATCCATGTCTTCGTAAAGGCCCCATGTAACGGTACATCCCTACATTCCAATTTTTTTTTTTTTTTTTGATTTTAGCGACATATTCGCCGAAATTGTTTCAAATTTCGTATTTGCAGTTCGTAATGGATGCTACAGCCTATGACAGAAAATTGTCTGTGCAGGTCCACTTCTTCGTATAGCCCCCAAATAACGGTACCTCCCAATATTCGGTATTTTGATGATTTTAGCGTCATTATTCTCCGGAGTGGTTTCAGACTACGTATTTAGACTTCGTAATCGGAACTACAATTTGTGATAGAAAATTGTCTATGCAGGTCCAGGTATAGGCCCCCTATATCAGTACCTCCTTATATACGGTACTTTGATGACTTTTAGCGATATTGCTCACCAGAGTAGTTTCAAATTACGTATTTAGAGTTCGTAATGGAAATTACAGTCTGTGACAGGAAACTGTCTATGCAGGTCCAGATCTTCGTATAGGTCCCGTATATCAGCAACCCCCCTATATTCCGTATTTTGACGATTTCAAGGTACAATACTCAAAAGAAATTGTTTGGGATGTCGTATTTGAAGTTCGTAATGGTTGCTACAGCCTGTGACAGAGAATTGTCTGTGCAGGTCCAGGTCTTCGTATAGCTCCGATATAACGGTACCTCCCTATATACAGTATTTTTATGATTTTACGAACATTATTCACCATTTATTTCAAGTTTCAAATTTAAATATGCCATAAGCCATTAGCTTATGACAAACAATCCCTATTTAGATCCACGTCGTATAGACCACAATATAACGGTTATTTTTGGTTTTTTTAAGATTTTAACAGAATTTTTAACGGATTTTATTTTATGAAAATTTTCAAATTCGTTCCAAATGGTGGAGGGTATTATTGTTCCAATTATTTTTACTTTTTTTCGCATTTTTGTTTTTTAATATGATCACTCACGATTTTTCGCATTTCAGGCAATTCTGGGTAAAAAGGTTTTACGTCCAGCCATATTCGATGAACAAGTCGCCAAAGACCTGATGACATGTTCCAGTTATCAACGTGACTATGAAATCGTTTGGGGTAATACCATGGCAGCGGAATGTTTTTATGAAGGTACGACGGAAGAATCCACTCTCATATTTGTCTTTTTTTAATTATTTCCCCTACTTCTTCCTCCCCAGGTCAAGGTCGTTTGGACGGAGCCAGTTGCGATTACACGGAAGCCGATAAAATGGCCTTCCTACAACGCGCCTTCGAAAATGGAATACGAAATATTGAAATGGAAGCGACAATGTTCTCGGCCCTTACCCGCCATGTGGGTGTTAAGGCGGCCGATGTATGCGTAACGCTGCTCAATCGCCTCAACGGAGACCAGGTGCTTTTGACCAAAGAACAAAAGGAGGACTTTGAGCATCGACCCTTTGCCATCGTTGGTGAATATATTAAAAAGGCAGTGAAGCCAAGTAAATGAGAAGTGATCTTAAAATAAATGTTTTTATGTGCGTTATTGAGTATCATTTAATGATGAAATTGTAAAATTATGAACCATGAATAAATTGTAATTTTATCGTATAATTTTTTTAACATTGTTGTTAATCGTTGGTAATGAAAGCTAAGTGTTTGCATAGGAGATTCCGTAATTCTCAAAGTTATATAGTTAATCACGTTCTATTTTTCAGTGGGCGTATATATCAATATATGTACAGGGTTGCCCTTATTCGACGGACCCATCTGGCAACGCCATAACTTTTGACAGAGATGTCACATCGCTTAATGACATACTGAGTTTGAAGCGTCAGTCCAAGCAGATTTTTACCATGAACCAATACCCGCCACGCGAAATAGTTGAAATTTACATTCAACACAAGAAGTCAATTGTGAAAACTCAACTTGCTTTTAAAACAACAAAAAATGTGAGAAGTGCGCCTTCTAAGAACACCATTAAGCGTTTATACGAAAAATGTTCGGCTGGTAAGGCTCTAATCCGAAGAGGCCATATAGAAGTCGACCAAGGCGATCGGCCGAGAATACCGCTGCCGTACGAGCCAGTGTTGAAAGGTCCCCAAGAACATCCCAAAAACACCGTTCTCAGCAGTTGGGTATGGCTCGGTCCACTTTACAACGGATTATTTGCATTGATTTGCATTTGTTCTCGTACAAAATTCAATTGACGCAAAGAATTTTGCCTGCGGACAAGCCTCGTCGATTGGAATGGGCCCAAAGAGTCATCGAAATGGCCGAAGATGACGAGCAATTTTTGAACAAAATTATCATGTCCGATGAAGCCCATTTCACATTGAATGGGACCGTAAATAAGCAAAATTGCCGTTTTTTCGCCTCAGGAGATTCAAGAAGTGCCTCTTCATGACGAAAAAGTCACAGTTTGGTGCGGCGTTAGTGCGAAAACGGTCATTGGGCCGTTTTTCTTCCAAAATGAAAATGGTCATGCTGTTACCATCAATCAGGAGCGTTATCGCGACATGATGACCAATTTTGTGATGCCAATTATTCGTCGAAAGCGTATGATACAGTTCTGGTTTCAACAAGACGGCGCTCCACCGCACACAAGTAGCATAACTATCGATTTTCTAAAGAATTTGTTTCCGGACCGTTTGATGTCGAAAAGTGGTGACTTCTTTTTGCGGAGATATTTGAAGTCAAAGGTTTACGTTAACAAGCCAAGGACCGTAAAAGAGCTCAAGGACAACATTCGTGAAGAAATAGCCGCTATTCCGCCCGAAATGTTGGCAAAAACGATGGAAAATGCAGCAAAAAGGGCACAATACGTCATCAACGCCAGAGGCGGCCATTTGAGAGATATCATATTCAAAAATTGATGTAAAGAAATCTACTTGGAACAAATTAAATGATTAAAAATTGCCAACCGCCAAATTTTTATTTTTTTCTTTGATTTTTTAGAAAAAAAACATGGGTCCGTCGAATATGGGCAACTCTGTAAGTGTTTTGTTTCTAATTACTTTTTTAATGATTGCTCCTACAATAGTTGTGTTCGTTCACTTTACCCGATAAAATTTATCGAAGGTTATCGAAGAACATTCGAAAAAAATGTATGCGTTACACATTTGAATCTAAACTTTAATTTTTTTATAAAAACAACAATAATGGGATTCTGCCTGACGAATTTGCAACAACAAAATACTATGGTATCCCAAACAATCAAGCCAAACACTGTTCTATTAATAGATACAGGTACGGTCGACGAAGGGGTTTTTGTTGTAACAGACAAAACAAACTTACATGGTTATGTTACTTCGTTCAGGTTGAACGAAAGCATAACAAGTGGAGAAAGATGTAAATGTTTATAAGTGCGGTTGTAAGATTTAGAAGATTTTCCAAAAGAATTTTAGTTTTATGTAATTCTTTTGTTCCTCTTCTATTGAGCTTACGATCTCGTCACTTGGGTAAAAAATGTTTTTTGTCATAGAAGTTATTTTTTAAATAACTTCTGGGGAGAATATCCCAGACAAGAAACAAGGGAACTGATGAGGATTGGTGGCTTTTTCCGAGACCTAGGTATTCCCTGCCTTACCCCCTGGTAAACATTACCATCGATCTCCACTCATAAACAAAATTGTTGTTTTTATAAAAACAACAATAATGGGATTCTGCCTGACGATTTTGCAACAACAAAATACTATGGTATCCCGAAAAAACAAGCCAACACTGTTCCGAAAAAAATTAAAGTTAACTACTTGTTATAAGAATGATAACACTGTGCGACAAAATTCAATTTTAGAGGTAACAAGTGAAAAACAAAAACATTAAGTTCGGCCAGACAGAATTTTTAATAACCTCCACCTTTGGTTAAAGAAAACGTTTTTATATAAAATTATCTGAATTCAAAAGTGTTCCACTACAAACTACAAATATCAGTAAGACCATTTAGATGCTCCTGTGACAGCTCGTTATATTGTTTACAAGCGTACAAAAGCATTTTGGTGAGAATTTTCCAGAAAAAAAGTTATTCGTGATGGAATTCAAGCGTGATGGTGTGGTTTCTTTATATTTGGCTGGAAAACCACAAGTGGCTATCGTTAGAGCTTTCCAGCATTTAAATGTGTATAAATCTTTTGTGTATCGTACCGTCGCTCGTTGCCGTGATACCGATAGCGTAGCCCGACGTCAAGGACGTGGACAACATCAGCAAAAATGGTTCGAAAAGTAAAGAAGCGACTTGATCGAAACCCGCTTCGCAGTGCCCGAAAAGTGGCTCGTGAGGTGAACATATCGCAATATTCCATTCGGCAAATATTGAACAATGAGCTCGAGGTAAAGTCATTGAAATTCCGAAAAGTGCAAGAACTTACACCGCAACAGAAAGAAAATAGACTCAAAAGAGCTAAAGAGTTGTTTCATTTGACTGAAAGTGGTGAACTGCCGAATTTGGTTTTATCCGCTCCGATGAGAAAACATTTGTTCTCCAGCAGTTTGTGAACAAACAAAATGATCGTGTTAACTTGTCAAAGAGGTCAGCTGAGGTCAGCTGGGCCGCCATAACAGCCGATGGTCGCTCGCCGCTCGTATTAATCGATCGTGGCATCAGAATAAATGCCGAATATTATTGCGAAAATATTCTGGGGGGTGTATTAAAGCCTTGGGCTCGCAAACCTTGGACATTCCAACAGGACTCGGCACCATCGCCACCAAATCTCCGGACATTATGATTATTGTGTGTGGAGTGTCTTGGAAAGCAAGGTTGGCACTGCAAAAATACCAAAGTGTTGATCACCTCAAGCAAACCCTTCGCTGGGAATAGGCCAAAATACCGCAGAACAACATTCGGTCAGAGTGTGATGGTTTCATTGGCCGTTTGAAGGCCATAATTCGTGCTAAAGGTGACCAATTCTAACAAATCTAAACTTATACCAAAATTTGATGCCATTTCCGACATGTTTTGCTTTCATTCAATAAAATTCTAAAAAATTTAAAAAAAATGTAAAAATGGTGGCGTTTGACTTTGTTGCAGTTTTTATACCCTCCACCATACTATGGGGGGTATATTAATTTTGTTATTCCGTTTGTAACTCCTCGAAATACTCATGTCAGACCCAACAAAGAATGTATATATTCTTGATCAGCGTAAAATTCTAAGACGATTTAGCTATGTCCGTCTGTCTGCCTGTGTGTCTGTCTGTCCGTCTGTCGCCGTATAGCCACCATATAACGGTACCTCCCTATATTCGGTATTTTGATGATTTGAGCGACATTGTTCACCGTAATTGTTTCAACATTGGTATTTGAAATTCGTAACGAATACTACAGTCTAACAGTACGTTTATGTATATGAGGATTAACCCACTGGATTTGGATTTAAATTGTCATATCCATTACTTTTACTTCAAATAAATCCTCTCAAAGTAGGTTAACCCTACAAAAAGTTCTAACGTAAACATGGCATAAGAAAGATAAATTGTCTATCCAAGTCCATGTCTGATGATTTTAACGGAATTATTTACCGGAATCGTTTCAAATTTGGTATTTGAAGTTCGAAATGGATACTACATCCTAAGTCAAAAAATGAGCCATGTAGGTCCACGTCTTCTTATATCCCCGATATAACGGTACCCCCCGATATTTGGTATTTTGATGATTTTAGCGATATTATTTAACGGTATCGTTCCAAATTTGGTATTTGAAGTTCGTAATAGATACTTCCGCATAAAACAGAAAATGGGCCATGTAGGTCCCCCATATACCGTACCCCCCGATATTCGGTATTTTGATGATTTTAGCGACATTATTTACCGGGATTGTTTCAAATTTCGCATATGAAGTTCGTAATGGATACTTCAACCCATGCCAGAAAATTGTCTGTGCAGGTCCACGCCTTCATATAGCCCCCATATAACGGTACCCCCCGATATTCGGTATTTTGATGATTTTAACTACATTATAAACAGATTTTTCTTCAAGTTTCGCATTTTAATATTGTAATAACTTATGACAAAAGTTGCCCATGCAGGTCTACGTCGTCGTATAGGCATTCGGTATTTTTAAGATTTTAACAGAACTTTAAACGGATTTTTTTTTTGAAAATTGATTGAAATATTGAATGTTCGGCCCGGCCCTGTATGTATGTAGTGCAATAGGGTATTCGAAATGTAAATAAAAATATGTCAAACTTATTTATTTCTATTTTTTTATCTAAATGCTTTTTGTTTTATTAAAAAATAAATAAATTTACAAATATAAAAAAAATTGAAAACAAAAAAAAAATATTAAATGAAATTTTTTATGAAATGCTTATCTTACAATAAATATGGAATTTATATCAGTTTTATTGTAACAAAAATTATAATAATAGTCAGCAATTCGGTCATAATTTAGGTGCATATGTTTCTGGTGTACACTGTACCCGAAGGCTAGTGCCAGAATGGATGATAAATCAACAATACTCGAAGGGCCTTAGTAATATGAAGAAATCCAAAGGCAATCCGGACAAATTAGGATCGAAATAGTTTTTGAAACAAAAAACCTCGTGATTTAGAGGCCTGTGCGACATTCTGTTCTGTGGGAAATATTCATTGATTCATTTTTGATTTTTTCATCTACTCATTTCGGTCCATTTCGCCTAAAAAGAACTTGAATTTTTTTCGTTAACCCTTTTGAAATGACCTTCGCCTTTGAAATGAGAATATTCTCTCTATCAGCCATCATTGCTGGGGTATTGGATTTCAGCCATCCATTGTGACAAGAGCCTTGTGAAAATGGGTTTAAAAGCGATTATTTTTTTTTTGCTCTTTTTCAATATATAATTTCTTTTTTTTTTCATATTTTACATATCATAATGTGTGGGTGTTAGTTTTCATTAATTTTTTCATTTTTTTTTTGTTTTTTTTTCAAATTTGTGGTGGTTTCCAGAATAGATTTGTTTTCATTTTTCTTGTTAAGAGTAAAGATAAAACTATTTATATGTAGGTATATATATGTATGTTTGTATATGCATATACTTTTTTTATTTGTTTGTAGGTATTTATGTGTAGATAGATATCCAGATATCTCATTAGTTTGAAGGTATAATTCAACATACTTAGGTCTACAAAAGAATATTTTTTGGTTTTTTCTATTTATATTTGTCTATGTGTGTGTGTGTATATGTGTTGGTTAGTTTTGCTTTGTATATATATATATATATATATATATGTCCTTCAATCAATATTTCGCCTTCAATATTTCGCCTTGCCGCTCTTCATAGTTCACACATCTATGTATGCAAATATACATAATTTTTAGTGTTTTTTTTTTGTTTTATAATAAGTACACATGTCTGTATGCAAGTGAATAATTTAACTTTTTTCATATATATATAAATAACACTAGGCATGTATAGTTTTAGAGATTTGAAAAAATATATAAAGTTGTAGTTTTAGTGTATATATATGGTGAGTTTGTCTGCCTGTCTGTCATCTCCTCTATTCGTGGGCCTGAGATTCCTGTTGTACCAGCTTATAACGTCTGGGTGACTTAATCGATCCTTGAGCATTGAATAGACTCTTCAGTTGACCCTTTTGGGCTAATACTTTGCGTATATATCGCGCTACAAGAATTTGTGGCCGTGTCTGCCATTCATTCATAACTTCTTTGGGGGAATTGACCTGGAAAAGACAATTAAAAACAAAAAAACAATTGAAATATTACAGAATTTGAAAAATAAAACAAAATCTATTTCGGATACAAGCTACAGGCATATACAACTTTTTAGCACAATTTCGAAATGGTTTCACTTGGAGTTCCCAACAAAAATGTTAAACTTAAAAGAAAGGCTATAGGGTTGCCCATATTCGACGGACCCATGACTCTTTGGGCCCATTCCAGGGGCAGGCAACATTCTTTGCGTCAATTGAATTTTGTACGGGAACAAATGCAAATCAATGCGAATAATCCGTTGTAAAGTGGACCGAGCCATGCCCAACTGCTGAGAACGGCGTTTTTGGGATGTTCTTGGGGATCTCTCAACACTGGGTCGTACGGCAGCGATATTCTCGGCCGATCGCCTTGGTCGACTTTTATATGGCCTCTTCGGATTAGAAAGAGCCTTACCAGTCGAAAATTTTTCGTATAAACGCTTAATGGTGTTCTTAGAAGGCGCACTTCTCGCATTTTTTAATGTTTTAAAAGCACGTTGAGTTTTCACAATTGACTTCTTCTGTTGAATGTAAATTTCAACTATTTCGCGTGGCGGGTATTGGTTCATGGTAAAAATCTGCTTGGACTGACGCTTCAAACGCGGTATGTCATTAAGCGTTGTGACATCTCTGTCAAAAGTTATGGCGTTGCCAGTTGGGTCCGTCGAATATGGACAACTCTGTAAAGAAACGACTTGATCGAAACCCGCGTCGCAGTGGCCGAAAAATGGCCAATGGCTCGTGAAAATGAGCTCGAGATAAAGGCATTGAAATTCCAAAAAGATGCAAGAACTTACGCCGCAACATAAAGAAAATAGACTCAAAAGAGCTAAAGAGTTGCTTCGCTCGGCCGAAAGTAATGAACTGCCAAATTTGGTTTTCTCCGATAAAAAAACATTCGTTGTCCAGCAGTTTGTAAACAAACAAAATGATCGTATTTACTGGCCAAAGAGGTCAGCTGAAAATGTGCATCTTCGGTTGACCACCAGAACTCAAGCGCCAAACATGTTGATGGTGTGGGTCGCCCTAACAGCCGATGGTCGCTCTACACGCGCCACACAAGAATGGTTACAAAATTAGGTTCCTCGCTTCATTTCCAGCGCACAATGGCCACCAAAATCTCCGGATACCAATCCGTTGGACTATTGTGTCTGGAGTATTTTGGAAAGCAAGGTTGGCACTAAAAAATACCAAAGTGTCGATCACCTCAAGCAAGCGCTTCGCCGGGAATGGGCCAAAATACCGCAGAGCAATATTGGGGAAGCGTGTGACGGTTTCATTGGCCAATATTCGTGCCAAAGGTGACCAATTCGAAAAAATCTAAACTTATTCCAAAATTTGATGCCATTTCCGACATTTTTGCTTTCATTCATTTAAATTAAAAAAAAAAAAAAAAACAAGTAAAAAAACATTAGGTTCGGCCGGGCCGAATTTTTAATGCCCTCCACCTTAGGGTAATGGAAACACTAGAACCAACAAATACCAATTTGTAGACATATTCGTGGGAAAATGTGGCAAAAATCATTAAAATACCGAATATCGCGAGGATCCGCTATATGGGGCTATATAAAAACGTGGACCTATACATACAATATGTCGCCAACGGTTCTAGAATTCATTATGACCAACAAATTCCAATATTTAAACAAATCCGTGATAAAATGCGACAAAAATCATCAAAATACCGAATGTCGGGAGGTACCATTACATGGGGGCTATACCAAAGCGTGGACCTATACATACAATGTTTCGCCGCACGAACTAGGACCCATTATGACCTGGAAATACCAATTTTCAGACAAATCCGTGAAAAAGTGTGGCAAAAATCATCAAAATACCGAATATCGGGAGCTACCGTTACATGGGGGCTATACCAAAGCGTGGACAATATAAGTGCTATATATAAGTGAGTAGTGAAATAATTGTCTGACTGACTGACTGACGGAGAATCAAGGCGAAACTGCTGAAGCTTGAATCTTGAAATTTTGCTCAAGTCGGGGTTTTTGGAAACTCGTACTAAACGGGTACGGGAAGTACTAAAATGTACTAAAGATTGAATGCCTAGCATTGGACAAACGGAATGAGATCGAATTCGAATGAGAGTCACTGATGGGAGAGTATGATGGATGTACCAAAGGGTTTTCAGAAATTCGTACAATGAGTACTAAAATGTACTACAATTGGTACAATTTCGTATCATGTGAAACTTGAAATTTGGAATGGGAATCACGGTTGAAAGTTGTTTTGGAAATGTATTAAACGGAAGCACCCAACGGTACTAAATTTCGTACAATTTAAATTTAGCAATATGAAATTAAGATTGCTGGATGAGTGTAGGATTGGGTTATGGAGGTAGGTTTTGAAATTTGTATTTATTTGTCCAAAAAGTACTAAATGATACAATATTTGGTAATATTTTGATTTGGGTGAACCAATAGAGTTAATATCCTGAAATTTGGAAATAAGATTAATCTTGCATTGTAGAACTCAGGTATATAGGAAACTTTGTAAATTCGAACTTATGTGTACTAAATGGTACTAAATTCGGTTCATCTTGGATTTGGGTAATCCAATAGAATTGATATCCCGAAATTTTGAAATAAGATTACTGTCGAAGTGTAAAACGTGGATATGGAAGTAGTTTTTAAAATATGTACTTATATGTACTTAATTATGTACAATTTGGATTTGGGTGAACCGATAGAGCTGATATCTTTAAATTTGGATTTAAGATTACTATTGGCGGGTAGGATTGCGGAATGTAGGAAGTTTTAGAAATACGTACTTATGGGTACTAAAATTTTGTACAATTTGTATTTGTAAGAACAAATAGTACTTGAAATCTGAAATTTAATATTAGGGTCGCTGTTCACGTGCAGCCTGGACATATGGAGGTGGTTTCGGAAATGTGAACTATAATTGTATGAGAAGTACTGAATAAATATTTAGTATTATGTGAAGAGATAGACATAAAATTCTGAAATTTTATTTTTAGATTATTGAAAATTGATGCCTCCTAAATTTGTACGCACTAAATGGTACTAAATTTGGTTTTGGGTGAAGGGATAGGTCTGGAATCGTCATATTTACATTTTGAGGTCTCTGTGGGTATGTGGAATGCACTAAGTGGTACTAAATTGGGTATTGAGTTAAGGGATAGAGCTGGAATCCTGAAATTTGATATTGAGATCTGGATTTGAGATCTTAATGTTGTTTTGGAAATGTTAACTATAACAGTAAAAAAATTGGTATTGGATAAAGGAATAGGACTGGAATCCTGAAATTTGATATTGATGTCTCTGTTGGTGCCTTCGGTACACAGAAGGTGCTGGTTTTGGAAATGTGTACTATAATTGTTCCAAAAGTACTAGGTGGTACTAAATTGGATATTGAGTGAATGGATGCAGATGGAATCGCGAAATTTTTTTATTGAGGTCAGGGATTGAGAAATGTAGGTGGTGTTGGAAACAACTACAACTTATCTCTCTTCACAAAAAAAAAACCTAATTCCTTAAAACAAAGAAACTTATTTAGAACACAAACTCCACAACGATTTGCCGCAATGAAAATAAATTTATATAAATTGTATATTCCTGTGATAAAAGTTAAAATGGAAAAGTAGAAGCAACTAAATTGGTCACCATCGCATTCTTACCTGATCACCGTTGAGACGATTCAGCAAGGCTACACAGACAACGGCAGCCTTGATGCCAGCATGATATGTAAGGGCAGCAAAAATGGTACTCTCCATTTCAATATTGACGACACCATTGTCGGCGAGTTTTTGTAAATATTCCATTTTATCGGCTTCGGAAAAATCACAGAATGCTCCGTCCAAACGGCCTTGACCTAAGGAGAGAATAACATCAAGGGTTATTTTTATTCCAAAATCCAGTTCGTTTTTTTTTTAACCAACCTTCATAGAAATCATTGGTGCACAATGTCTTGCCAATTATGGTATCATAGGGATCATCGGGACTGGCCAAGGCCTTAAGTTCACGAGCCAACTTCTTGTCCAATTTGGCGGGGCGATGAACGACTTTACCCAAAATGGTCTGGAAAATAAATTAAAGACATTTCAGTTGTTGTAATTCATTTAAATTTTCTTTTGTTGTTGTTGTTGTTGTTGTCTAACTTACAAATTCATGAGAATTCCTTAATTGACCGTCCAGAGCATTCTCGGTGATGATGACAGTGCCACCCTCTACACCAATGCCACCACAAGTGCCAATACGTATGAAGATCGGGTCTTGGCACTTGGCATGATGCATCAGTTTGATCATTTCGTGCATCAGAATGCAAATAGAGGGCGTTCCCATGCCGTGACTGACGCAAAGCACTGGTCCAACTTTGTACATCGAATACCGATACGAGTAGGCGCTAATGTCCTGCAACATCGTGCCTGCAGGTAATTTGTAGCCGATTTCATTCATAATGAAATGTGCAAAGTTCTCCATACGATTTGGTGTCCCGCCCATGCAAACGAACTAAAAATAAAAAAAGGACAAAACGGAAAATTGTTTAGAAGCAAATTTATTTGATTGGAAACTTTTAGAAACTAGATTTTAAGATTTTTAGAAATATGCATCCTAGAGGTTAATTATTTATTTATTATTTCTTGAATTCAAAGAACTTTATTCTTAAATCCATTATTTGTTCAAGAACTATCAGAGCTACATTCGTAGATATTTTAAGCATGCTGTTCTATATTTTAAGATTTTTTTTTTGATTTTAAAATAAATATATTGAACATTATGGTGAACATTTTCGGACATTTTAAGAATATGGTTTTATATTTTAGGAATTTTTTTTTAAAGAATTTGAAAGTATTTTTTTAATACTAAAATCCTGCTAATTTTATGTCTATTTTTTCAGCGTTTAGTAAATGATCGGGATTGGGAAGATTTTAGAACTCAAATGACTTTTAGGCCTGAATTCATGGTTATTTAAGAATATGTTTTTTTATATTTCAAGAACGATTTTTAGATTTTAAAAGAAATATTTTAAGACTAGTCGTGAAGTTTTGAGGTTTTCTTTTTCAGGGACCATTCCTGAATGTTTTAAGTAGAGGGTTTTACATTTTAAGACATTTTTGTACGAGGGTTAGTATTGCAGCGTAGACGTGTGAATAGGCTAGGTTTTTTGGACATCTGTACTAAAATTGTACGAAATGTACTAAAAGTTGAATACTTTGCATTGAACAAGCGGAATAAGCTCGAATTCTGAAAATTGGAATAAATGTCACTGAGGGAGTGCAGGATACACTCACAAAAGGGTTTTTGGAAATCCAAACTTTAATGTTACGAATTGTTCTAAAATAGTACTAAACTTCTGGTATTATGTGAGCGGATAGAGCTTAAAACTTGACATTTGGTATGAGAATCAAGTTTGGATAATAAGTTTGATATACAAAAGTGGTTTTGGAAATGTGTACTAAGCGCACTGTACTAAATGGTACTAAATTAGAACAATTTGGTTTAGGTTGAACGGATGAAGCTGGGAATTTGAAATGTTGTATTGGGATCCCTGTTGGTGATAAATTTGTGATAAAGATACGATTTTGGAAATGTGTAAGACAAGTGTACGAAAAATACTAAATAGTACTATAATTGGTACAATTTGGTATTGGGTGAAGAGATATTTCTTGAAAATTTGATATCAGGGTAGCTTGTCATTCGTATCCTAGACATATGGAGTTGGTTTCGGAAATGTGTAGTATAATTGTACGAAAAGTACCATATTGTACTTTATTTTCGTATTGAAATTTAATATAGGTATCACTGTTGGTATATGTGTTGGAAATTTGACTGTGGTTTGGAATTGTGTACTATAATTGTACGAAAAGTTCTAAATGGCACTAAATTTGGTATTGGGTGAAGGGATAGAACTGTAATTCAGCAGCATTTGATATTGAGGTCAATGTGGCCATCTGGAATTGAGATATGAAGGTGGGTTTGAAAATGTGTACTATAATTGTACCAAAAGCACTGAATAGTACTAAATTTGGTATTGGGTGAATACATAGGCCTGAGAGCTTCAAATTTGATATTTAGGACTCTACTGGTATCTAGAGTTAAGATATGGAGGTGTGTACTATAATTGTACGAAAAGCACGAAATAGTACTAAATTTGGTATTGGTTGAAGGAATAGAGCTGGAATCCTCAAATTTGATATTGAGGACTCTGTTGGTGTATAGAATTGAGATATGGAGGAAGTTTCGGAAATGTATACTATAATTATACGAAAAGTACTAGATGGTACTAAATTTGATATTGAGTGGAGGGATAAAGCAGGTCTCTGGCCTATCTGGAATTAGGATCTGAAAGTGGTTATGAAAATGTATGAAAAAACACGAAATTGTACTATATTTGGTATTGGTTGAAGGGATAGAGCTGGAATCCAGAATTTTGATATTGAAGTCACTGTTGCTATTGGGAATTGAGATATGGAAGTGTTTTCGGAGTACTGAGTACTATAATTGTACGACAAGTACTAAACTGTACTACATTTGGTATAGGGTGAAGGGGTTGAGCTGGAACCCTGAAATTTGATATTAAGGACTCAGTTGGTACCTAGAATTGAGAAATGGCAGTGGTTTTGAAATTGTGTACTATAATTGTACGAAATGTACTAAATAGTTCTTAATTTGGTATTGGGTGTAGGAATAGAGCTGACATTTAATATAGATGTCACTGTTGGTATCTGTGGGTAAGATATGGAAGTGGTTATGGAAATCTGTACGATATATATGTACGAAAAGTACTAAATAGTTCTAAATTTGGTATTGGGTGTAGGAATAGAGCTATAGATATATATGCCACTGTTGGTGTCTGTGGGTAAGATATGGATGTGGTTTTGGAAATCTGTACGATATATATGTACGAAAAGTACTAAATAGTACTAGAGTTGTGTATATGATGAAGGGATTGAGCTGGAATCCCGAAATTTGATATTGGGGCCTCTGTTGTTATCTAGAATTGAGATATGAAGGTGTTTTTTTTTTTTTTTTTTTTTTTTTTTTTTTTTTTTTTTTGGTAATATTTGCTATAATTATACGAAAAGTACTTAATAGTACTAAATTTGCTATTGGGTGAATGGAGAGAACTGCAATGTTGAAATTATGATATTGGTATTTGAGGTTGATATTTGGAGGAAATTGGAAATGCGTACTTTATTTGTTCGAAAAGTACTAAATCGAACAAAATTTTGTATTTGGCGAAGGGTAAGGGCTGAAATTCTGAAATTTGACTTTCAGGCCCGTCTTGGTTTTAAGGGTTTTTAGAAATGGATACGTTGAATTATTTTATGACAGACAGATAAATTGAATGTGGGTCCATTGTGCAATGCTTTGGCAAATGTCCTCTTCGGGAAATTCCAAAATGGGAGATTTTGAAGTGTTTTTGGTGTAAAAGGTTAACAGTTTCTTTTTATTATTTCCGAAAAAGGAAAGAAACTTGAATAATATTTTTATACCCTCTACCATAGTATGGAGGGTATATTAAGTTTGTCATCCCGTTTGTAACATCTCGAAATACACATTTTAGACCCCAAAAAGTACATATATTCTTGATCAGCATAAAATTCAAAGTCGATTTAGCGATGTCCGTCCGTCTGTGGAAATCCCTCTAGCTTCCGAACGAATTGAAGTAGATTGATAAAATTTTACTCAAATGTATGTTATGTCTGCAGGACTTTTGGTATTGAAAATGGACCATGTAGGTCTACGTTTTGGTATAGCCCCAATATAACGGTACCTCCCGATATTCGGTATTTTAATGATTTTATGGACATTTTTTCACCAGAATTGTTTCAAATTTGGAATTTGAAGTCCATAATGGATACTACAGTCTAAGACAGAAAATTGTCTGTGCAGGTCCACATCTTCGTAGAGCTCCCATATAACGGTACCTCCCGATATTCGGTATTTTAATGATTTTATGGACATTTTTTCACCAGAATTGTTTCAAATTTGGTATTTGAAGTTCGCAATGGATACTACAGCCTAAGACAGAAAATTACCTGTGCAGGTCCACCTCTTCGTAAAGCCTCCATATAACGGTACCTCCCGATATTCGGTATTTTGATGATTTCATCTACATTATTACCATTTTTTTTTAAATTTCGCAAAATTGTAGTGGCTTATGAAAAATTTTACCTTTGCAGGTCCACGTCGTCGTATAGACCCTAATATGACAGCTACATTCGGTATTTTTAAGATTTTAAAAGAATTTTTAACGAATTTAATTTATTTTGAGAATTGCCAAATTTGTTCCCAATTGGTGGATGGTATTCAAAGTTTGGCCCGGCCGAAGTTACAGCTTTTTTACTAGTTAATCTTGCAAGTCTAATATTTTCGGACAATGTACGAAGTTTTGATTAACATTTTTTTTTCAAATTGAGGATTTTGAGTACTAAAAAGTCCTAACACGAAATATTGGAATGAATCTAAAATTTTATGGTGAACTTTTGGCTGACGAAGTAGGTGGAGTTTATCGTAGTTAGTTCTTTCCTCCATAAACCTGGCCGTTTTTGAAGACTTTATCCATTTTTGTTTTATATATTCGCAATCATAAAAAAATATTTCAATGTCTCTGTTACATAAATTGTTGCTGTAGTTGTAGTTGTAGTTGTTACAATGCCATACAAAAGACACGTTTTGAATTTAATTCATAGGAGCAAGTTGAGTTTAGGGGCTGTGCTCTGATCATTTTGAAATTTTTACCACAGGTAGGTATTTTTAAACTGATTACGGCAATATAAATTTTTTGTGGGGGAAATAACCGGTTACCCGGTTATTGGACCCGAAAGTTCAGATACAATGTTCGGTTTTTATCCGGTTCCACTGAACCGATACAAACAAAATGGGTATCATTGGAAAGCTTATGAAAATACCTATCCAACAAGTGGTCACATGAACCGGTTACAAGAACCGGTTCCAGAGTAATGCAAGAAAATTGATATTTTTTACCAGTACTTTTTGAAAAACCCATAAAAACTCAAAAATGGACCCATTATAAGGTATTAAAATCTACATACCGTATTATAGCCAACAATATTGCCTTTCCAAAATGGTATCATACATGTTGATATCTTTTGTAGTTCCGAAGATATTAGTGATAGAAGTCATTAATTTGCAATTTTTTCTCCAGTCAAATGTATCTAACCTCTATAGCATTTTTAAACAGCCGGCCTTCGGCCGGGGTTTGAGATTTTCTTCTCTGGGGTATGTCCAACACCGGCTACGCGATCGCTAGTTTTTCTTAACATCGTAATCTTTGTAGGTAGCCGGCCTTCGGCCGGGGCTTGAGATTTTCTCCTCTGGGGTATGTCCTACACCGGCTACGCGATCGCTAGTTTTTCTAAACATCGTAATCTTCGTAGGTAGCCGGCCTTCGGCCGGGGCTTGAGATTTTCTCCTCTGGGGTATGTCCAACACCGGCTACGCGATCGCTAATTTTTCTAAAAATTGTAATTTTTGTAAGTAGC